AGGCCCTTAATTACAACAATACTTCAATTTTTTGGCATCTAGAGAGCAAAATAACCCACTCTTACAGATATTGATTTTTGGACATGATATTTGTTGAAAACGCATAAAGCAATAACTATACGTTGTGAGCTTTTTCTCTAGGTCATGTTCTTTGAAGAGGAATTATCAATGCAAACTTTTGGATAGACAAGCCATCATCAACTAAGTGCGGCGGCACTACCCCACTCATATACTTGTCATATTTGGGCCTTTTTTTGCTACGACTGTGAACTATATATTGAGCATATAAGCTACAATGTTAAGACCTTGTTTGGATGTCCATATATCCACCTCAAGCCATATGTGTTGGAATGATTTGGTGTGTAAATTAATTTAAATTCCACGCCAAATCACTCCAACACATATGAACTGAGATCAATACACGGGCATCCAAACAAACCCTAAAGGGTATCAAAGATATAGGGTTTACTTGTTGAAGGCCCTTTTTGGTTTTTAAAAAATGCCTACCGTCATTTGCGTTTATATCTGCACTGCCTGAAAATGAAGGACTTCACGCAGGCAACCCGCCGCTTAGTGCGAGAGACTTTTTTCATTCGTAGTGTTTGAAACAAGATGTGTCACTTACTTTATCATTTGCTTTCTCAAATTCTATTTTTTTAAATGATGTTTTCTGTTTTTTTAATGCAACTCATGAACGAATCATGTCTTCTAGAACGTTTCTTCCCCTCGTGAGAGCCGTTTGACTTATGATGATGGCATGATCTGCCATGATATCAATCATATTTGTCACCACTTATAAAAAAATGAAGCTCGCATTAAGCAAGCACCTTGCTTGATTATGTTGAGAGCTTCGTGTATAGGTGCCATTTTTTTATTTTTAGCCCCTTTTTTGAAAAAATTTCACAAATATGCCACCGGATGTATGATTTCAAAATCTGGACCCTTAGCTCGGCGCCATCGTTGCTGGCGCTGAGGTCTTGGGATCGACGTAGACGTGGCGGTGACTTGGCAGGCAGCTCGGCGCCGTAGATCCTGGCGTTGAGCTTGGCGCCGTAGATCTTGGCGCCAAGCTCGGCGCCAGGATATATGGTGCCAAGGTGGTGTTTTAACCCGGCCCCAACCTTCCTGCCTGAGCCTTCTTTCTCTTCTTTCTCCTCCCTCTCGGGTTTTTTCTCTCCCTACTTCGCCCTAACTCAAGAATCGGCATATTGGACATTGAAAACTTTGATTTGATCCATAGATCTTCGAGAGCAAGGTATCCTCGCTTCCCTCCTAGTTGTTTCACATAGATTCGGTATATATTAGTCGGATTTTTCAACCTAAGAATCGTCATTACTTAGGGTTTCATGCAATTTTTAATATTTATATTATACAACCGTAGGATGTCAAGGCATGAAAAAGCTAGCAAACCAAGATAACCTCAGCGCATGTTGTTATATTATGGGTTCATTGTTGTGCATCAAATGGGAAACCCTAGGTTTACAGTTTAATGTTAATTGCTTTCGGTTCTTAGAACAAAATTGGTTGAATTATAGTTATGGCCGGATGACCGAAAATGCCTTCGACCCATTGCCTCTGCCTAGTGGTGTTCTAGTGTCCATATGCTTTTGCAGCGATTCTTACAAGATAGCCAAGTCCGATGAAGAGGACACGTATAGGCAGAGGTATGGGATGTGTTCTAATTTTACGTTTGAGCCTACACTTCGTCGGCGCCGCATTAACAAGATGGTGAGGAATTGATGTTTGTGTCGTATGACATCTTGCATGTTTTTTTTTGTTTTGTAACAATTGCATTTTTTGCAGACCCCTCCACCGCTCTGTGATTTTGAGCAGTGGATCGACACTGAGATCAAGCCTGAAGACAAGGAATAGATGCAGAAACTGTTGCGGTGGGAGGCAGAGGACAAGGAGATGATGGAGAAGAGACGCGGAGAGGAGGCTGCAAAAAAGGAGCACAAGGAAGAGCAGGAAAAGAGGCATGTTGCTGCGTACAGGGAGAAGAGGGAGAAGAAGCTTGAGCGTACACGCCGAGCGAAAGCAGCGATGGAGAAAAATCCCGATGCCCTGAGGAAGGGAAAGTGACCTCGTTGCACTCAGTAGTCTCCATGACTTGCTAGTTCTATGGTTTATTCATGAACAATATTGTCTACTGTCGGTAAGTACTTCTAGTATTATTGTGTTGTTTAATATGGCATAATATTAGACTTTTCATTATGTAGTTGTTTTTCATTATTTATGGTCATAATATTTAGTATAATATTGCGGACGCAGTGAAATGTGATCATGTGCTACAAACAAAACCTAACGAAGTAGGATATTATATAATTCAACACATAAAACACATGAAATGGCATGTGAGAACATGTACCAAACTAGGGTACAGAGTACCTTCGACTAAACCTAACATGCCTTAGGTAATTAAATCAAACAACAAACACATAGATGTGCTATATGAATAAGATAGGGTCGTCCTAGTTGTGTAGCCACATAGCAAATTGTGTTGCACTTTCTCCACAGTAGCCTCCCATTGTTGGTGGTGGTGGTGGCGGGGGTGACGACGGAGGCCCCTTATTCTTGTGGTTAGGGCAGGTGCAATATGGATCATTACAGAGTGTCTCCTGTGAATCTGTACCATTGTTGTTGTCGTCCTATTCGCCGTCCTTGTAACCGCTGCTAACTTCCCTTTCTAGATCGAAGATATTGTCCTGTAGGTAGTAGATGTACTCCGCCTGTGGATAAATAGGTCAAGGATCGACCCACCTAGTGAACCCACAGTTTTCTTCGACCAAAGAAGACTGCAATAAGTATGTCATGTAAGTTGTATAGAAGAGAAACATATTGAACAAACAAATAGTAATAGCAATTACCCATGCTCGCGGGCATTTGAAGAAACGCCGACCTCCATTTATTCCCTCGGTGAACATATGCACTAGGCAGTCCTCACCATGCATGCATTTTGGTCACTCTTCTTTCCGTTCATCGTATCCTCTCAGTGGTGCCTCTTTGGTGAAATCACTTTTGCTCTCAGCTGGGAACCTCTCATAAAGAGCTTCCTTAAAGAAATCGGGACCAACAAAACCCTCCCACACAATGGTAGTTCCCTTTCCCTTTCCTCTCCCTCTGGACGACCCTCCAGACATTGGTACTGCAACGAAAAAAATAATAGTTGAGAAGTAAGTAGCAATGCATCCAGCATTGCGTATATATAGGCAGATGCAGGTTTAGTTGTCGTTTCAATGTGTTATAACTGGTCACAAAAAGCTTAATTAGTTTCACTGAAGAGCTTATTTTATTAGACACTGAAAAGCCTAGATTCGTTTTCTAAAAAGTTTATCCGTCGTTGACATGATAAATCACTGAAAAGCTTAGATGCTATAGGTGTACTATGTAAGTGAAGTGATAAATCGCTGCTATCATCGTACTCATCGTTCTTGTAACTGAAAAGTCTATTTTCGTTGTCTGAAAAGCCAGGGCTCTTATTAAAAAAAAACTCATCGCTAAGCCCCACCCAACAAAGCTCTACGAGATTAATTGCCTAGTGGTGGATATATATATAGAGCGTGTTTGAAACTGCTCCACGAATTTTGCTCCACAAACTCCATCGTTGGACAGCTCTATAAAAAACATAATTTGTGGAGCATTCCTTTAGGTGCTTCCACTATTTTTTTTTCTCGAACGAGTGCATAAAGTTAGAACTATTTGGCTAAAAAATATGAAGTGAAGCGGTCCAAACACCTCCTATTCGATTTCTAAGCCTCACGTGGTGGATATAACGCCTTTCTAAGCCCCGCCTAGTGCTGAGTCCCATTGGTGGATATAGCGCCTGATTGGGACAACTCCCAATAGCTCTAGATTAAAAAAACAATTCAACTTTATGATTTTCTAGTCAAACTCCCCTAACTCCACCAACTCCGGTCTCTAGTTCCACCAAAACAAAAATCCATAAAAAATCATGAAGCTCGTCACGGGATGCCACTGATTACACATCCCTCCCACACGAACAGATTCTTCTGTTTTTGTCTGCTCCTTCCCTTCTCACGTACGGCGTTTCTTAAGGAACATATTCAGTGGCGCTCCTCCTGGCGATGGCTGGTAGTTATCGATGAAGACGGAGGCCGGGCACATATTATGCCTCTCTTGCCTTTTTTATTTTAGCCTATGAATATTTTTGTTATGATTACATATAAGTTCATACGTTTTAGAGTGGAGCTCTTCCGAACAAGTTTGTGGGAGCTCAGCTCCGTGGTAAAGTTATTCCACGGTAAATCTAGTGCTTTAGATCTATTTTTCCAGAGTTAGAGCCCTCTTATGGGTGTTTGATCTAGTGACTAAAATTTAGAAAGTGTTACACGAGGGTGTCGTATAGGGTGTTTGGATACTAATAAAAAAATAAATTACAGAATTCGTCGATAATCCACGAGATAAATTTATTAAGCCTAATTAATCCATCACTAGCGTAGGTTTACTGTAGCACCATATTATCAAATCATGGACTAATTAGGCTTAAAAAATTCGTCTAGCAAATTAATCACAAATTATACAATTAATTTAGTAATTAGTCTATATTTAATACTCGGGTCAAACATCCGATCACGACTAAAGTTAGGATATGTTCGATTTCTCGCGGTTTTATCGTCGAGATCCATTTGTTTGAGTATCACACGCTTGGACCGATCAGGCCCAATCATGGACACGGCCCGATCCAAGCTAACTCATTACTTATACGGCCCGTATACGGTGAACGGTTATGCACAGTAGAAAAAGCAGGTGCACTCAAGCATATCTACACTGACATGCGGGCCCTCCATGAGCACATACGGATAACTACCCCCAAGCAATAAAGGCATGTTCCCCACCACGGATGACACGTGGGCCCGAAAACTTCGACCACTTTCGCTATAGCGCGAAATGGCCGAACTGACCCTCGAAGAAGCACAGCGCGGGCGGAAGAAAGCACACCGTGAAAACTTCCGCCTCCAGCCGAAAATAACCCGAACCCCATGCACAAAGCAACTGATAGGATGGGCCCGCGGTTCCCAACCCATCCAAAGCCATCGAAGCAGCCCCCGCAGGCTAGCCAGAGATCACGTACTCCTAGCGGAAGGCAGCAGCATGCGGCGCGCCGCGCGGCCAATGGGAGGCGAGCGCCCGGATCGGTGACGTGGCAAAAAATTCAGATCCCGCGCAAATGCCCACCGCCCCTTGCCTTTAAAAGCCGCCCCCTTCTGGCCTCCTTTCCCCTCCACTCGCATCAAAGCAACACAGACCTACACACGGTTCCGTGCACACACCCAAACCGGCAAACCCTCGTCGCGATCCGGCCCCAAGGTACTGCGATGTCGAAATCTAGATCAAATCGTTTTGAATTCGATGCTGTTGGTATGTGTTGTTGCTGATGGTTTTATTGGATTTGGTTCTGTAGGTCTCGAGATGAAGGCAAGGGCGAGGTCCAGCGGCGGCGACTCCAGGTACGATTCGATTTGGCCGCCTCTTCCATCCATTCTCGTTATTTTTTTTTTGTTGTGGTTTTGACGGGGATTTGTTTGTTTTTGCTGAAGGCTCTCGGTGAGGAAGTCCAAGGCTGAGAAGGACCCAAACAAGCCCAAGAGGCCTCCCAGCGCGTTCTTCGTCTTCATGTGAGTTTCAGATTATGCGGTCTTTGTCCTCCCGTTGTTTGTATTTCGTTCTGATCGGTTGGGTCTGGATTTTGCAGGGAGGAGTTCAGGAAGGACTACAAGGAGAAGCACCCCAATGTGAAGCAAGTCTCCGTGGTAAGGCGTTGTTTCAACCATGATTCCGTCATTCGATTCGAATATTCGTGATGGGCTGGTATGAAACTTGCGTTTCTGATGTTTGTGGCTCTGTGAATGGCAGATTGGCAAGGCTGGTGGTGACAAGTGGAAGTCCCTGTCTGATGCTGTGAGTTTGCTTGCTCCCCGTGCCCATTTTAACCGTTTGAGACTGCAGTTAGTTGCGATGTGCTTTGTTGTTCTTACGATGAATGTGCCGTTCTAGTTTCGTCCGGGTTGGGCCCCCTGTGTTTGTCTGTATCAGTATATATCATGTGATTACTTGCTGCAATGTTAGATCTGTTGAAATTCCATCGTTCGTTGCTTTCGAACTTGCGGGCAGTTTTGCTCGTGATTTGAATTCAAATTTCACCATACCTCATGTTTTGGAATTGTAATAACTGGCGTCTAAGTTACTAGACGGTTGTTTAGACTTCAGATCTGTTGACTTGCTGCTGCCTAGTGCTATCTTCCTTTGATACTGTCTGTTTGGTTCAATAGATTGTGGGTACTCGACACTATTTTGTTCAATTCGATTTTGAAATCGGATCGTCCATAGAAGAGTTTTGTTGGTGGACTTGCATATTCACTTGCTTTTAACTCCCTGATGCCGTTTATGTTAGTTTCCATCTATGTCTGAAACCATTGCTGAGATGGAACAGCCCCTGACGTGCGATTTCTGAAATGCAGGAGAAGGCTCCCTACGTCTCTAAGGCCGAGAAGCTCAAGGCTGAGTACACCAAGAAGATCGACGCGTACAACAACAAGCAGGTACAGTGTGTTCCACTCTACGGAGTACTCACGTTGTCCGGCAGTGCCTGGACATTCGCCTCTGTGTGATGTGATTCATGTGTCATCTGTCGTTGCAGTCTGGAGGCCCCACAGCGTCTGGTGATTCTGACAAGTCCAAGTCCGAGGTGAACGACGAGGACGAGGAGGTGCGTGAGAGCAAATCCTCCGAGTCCTGACTCTTCCTTGTGCCTTCCACTACCGGTTTTACTTTGTGGATCCCAAACCTCACTGGTCCCGTCCATTCGAAACTGTTTTTTGCAGGGTGACGAGTGATGGATGACGGATGGAGGAGCTCTCGCCTGCCCAAGTGCTTGCAGTCAGTAGGGAAATTCTCATCGTCGTGGGCCTAACCAGGCTTTTGCTGCTCCTTTTAGCCTCTGGAATCTGTCTGTCTGTCTTCTAGATGCAGTAGACTAATAGTAGTAGTGGCCGCTCGCTCTCTGAGTTGGTAGTTGCAAGTGTTATCCCTGAAGTGATGCAGTTTAGCTGGTAGTGTGTTCGCTTCCTCGGCACTTGACCGTTTGTTGGAATGGGATGTTTAGCCTGCAGTCTGTACTTACCCCCAAGCATCTATGATGCCTGTTTTAAGTCTCAGATCTCAATAGATGCCTGTTTTAAATCTCGGTTCTCAACAGAATTCATCCTCTCTTGATTGCATCTCTCCAAGTTATACCACTACTGTTTATTGCTGGTTCTGGGTTGTTCACTTGTTCTATGCTCAGCCTGGGCTGCGATTGAGATTTTTGAAGCTTGGTTCGTCGATCTGAATGTGCAGGCATGACTAGTCTGATCTAATTACCGGTTGTTGCAACATTTAATTGTAAGTGTACAAACTTTAAGAAAGAGTACACTGTGCGCTATAGTGATTTGTACTGCTTGACTTTCACCCTGATCTAACCGTGTCGCTGCAGTGGCCCTGGGATACCCTTGGTATGCCATGTTGATCTTGGAATGGAGGTCAGGAGGTGTTTGTTAGGATCTGGAAGCTGGAACTTGGAGTGTGCTTGTCGTGGTCTGTACATTCTGCATAGTACTCCCCCGGCGCTTGTCGTGAACTGAAGAACCTGTGATGGAGTATTGGGGATAAAGCTGGCTGCCGTCTGCTGCATCCGCCGGCGCGACGCGTGATTGCGTGCGCCGAATGATCTCATCCGATTTGACGCAGCCAACACGGAGGATCTGATGAGTGGCTGTTGTAGCACACGTGCAGTGTTCGTTGGAATCTTTTGGCGTCGCCATTCGCCAGAGCGCGAATCGTACGTTCAACAGCTCGAGGCAAGGCGTCACAGCTGGAGAAAAGGCCGATGATCGCTGAAAGGAATGACGCCATCTGCACATTTTGGAGGAGTATCGTACTCGTACTACGTCGTCCGAGCATTATTTTAGGATGTCAGTCTCAACTCTCATCTCTGAAGTCTGAACAGTGAACTCACCCTGCTCAACTCTCAGGATGACGTCAACCATCAACTATTTGACCATGCTATCTGAACGAACTGGACAGACTACAAACTGAGCATAGTAGTTGAATAAAATCACTAAATAATAAAGAGAAAAAGGAAACATTCGAAAACGCTGCAACATTGTATTGTCTGGCAAAATGAAGGAACAAATAGCCTGAGACCCAGCTCATGGGCCGAATTGAATAGTGATGGGCCTAGGGTACTGTAGAGAAGAGTTGGGCCGAGCCACAATCGCGGAGCATTGCAACACTGTAGCATCGCAGAGTACTGTTTACCCAAAAGTTTAGTAGGTACCGGGGACTGAGGAGGGCCGAACCAGCTTTAAATAGGCAGGCCAAGGACACGTAATAATTTTAAGCTAACTTTATTTGCATGAAGTGAGGACGAAAACCTAAACATGTTGCTATGTAGGTGGGGCCCAGCCATCGGGGGCCTGTGACGTGTTCTGGACCTGTTACATAGCCGCCGTACACGTGCAGTTTTTACGTGAGATTCACAAGGGAAGGGAGTGCTTTGAGCCTTTGACCATATATATATGGCCGATCGAGTAAATACAAAATTCTGCAATAAAATATACGTGTTAACCACTCACTGAAGAACGTGGTAAGCGTCTTGTTCCACCAAATAGTTTACCAGCCACGATTTTCGCACGGATTAGTGATAACATCTTTTTTTTTCTGTTCAAGTACATTCAATCAGTTGTATGAAGCAAAAAAAAAAACATATTCAATCAGTGATACTGATACACACACGGGCACATGGCTTTCGTAACTACCATTGTGACACGGAGGTCAGAATTGTCAAACTCAACGAAGTCTGCAAGGCACCAAACAATTGTATTCGACGATTCGGCCGTTGCTGCGTGCAGAAAAGGATCAGATCAAGATGCTCGATGTCCTGGCAAGTACTACATCGCACGAACACGCCACGAAGATGAGCCTGACAGCGTGCACCGTCTTGATATTCCTCTTCCTCTTGCTGCGGTCGTGCGCATCCCAGGACAGGTTCGTCGTCGGCAAGCCGCTCTCCCCATGTTATCGTTTCGAGTGACGGCACCTTCGAGTTGGGCTTCTTCTCCCCCTTCAATTAGTCATACACACCTGCAGAGACAGAGTGTAATGGATCATGCATGTTCCATAAAAAAAAATGGATCATGCATTGCCCTTATGCAGGAGGCCGTTAGGCGTTAGCTCTGGCGACCACGATCATAGGACCGGCACGATGCATCTCTTGGAGTGTGACTGTGTAGACAGTAGACACACGCGTAACGCGTTGCCTTTGAGAAATTATTGGCATGAAGTCGTCATATTTGGAGAAAAGGCAAATGGTGAATGGCGTGGCATCACGTGGCCTTTCCCCAGCGTTCTCGCTCGATTTTTTTGGACTTTACGTATCTTCACAAGGTTTTTTTGACCAATGCTTTCTTACTGTGATTTCCGCGATGTTTTTAAATCATAGGTGTATATGTTCGAATAAGAATCTAATAACACGAAAGTTTATGTAAAAAAAATATTGTATCAGTGTATAATTATTATTTAAAAAATTATTTCGTGTAGCAGAAAGTGCTTCCGTAGCATAGTGGTAGGGCGTTCGCTTCGTAAGCGAAAGGTCGGGAGTTGGATCCTCGCCGGGAGCTGAGCTGTGCTCTTGTTGTCTTTTTTTGTTTTTTTTTTTAAGTTTTTGTTTACTGTACCTTTGCCCCATCTTGATGAGCATTTTCCTTTTTGTGTCTTGATGATTGTGTTTTTATTTAGGTTTTTGTTACTGTACCTTTGCCCCATCTTGATGAGCATTTTGGGTACTCAGTTATTCACGGATGCGAAATTTCAGAACGCAAAAACTGTTCATAGATATAATAGACAATGGGACGCATCGAGAACTGTAAATAGATATAGATATATACATCATCATCCTAGTTTCCGACTGCCAGGCCATGCATTTTACACTCCACTTCAGCTCAGGGAACTTCTCTAATCCATGTGGATGTTTGAAACTATGAATCTCCATGGCGACGTGACATCTGCATCTCCTCCCCGCATGCTAAATCTCACAGAACAAAGTTCTTCCCAATGCTTCACGTTGAGCTCTACATCAAATTATGTACCAGTTGTGGATTTGTTCAAGGCAGATAACCTAAGCTGTTCCACAGAAAATCCAAGGGCAGAAAAGTTTGGAGTATTGTCAATTATACTCTGATGAGAAGTCTACTGTGTTGATGCAACATGAGGATCATGCGAACCTGATTACACTAGAAATTCTGGGAAAGTGATCACAAGCAGAACTGCAAAAGATAACAGCAGTGGCAGCAGGTAACTGACCTTAGACCTTCTTGAGTTCAGCGCCACAGGATCCTTCTTTAATGGCTTATATGCAAAAGACTCAAGGTCGATCACTGATTGCGGGGAGATGGAGTTACTAGCATCTCTCTGAGTTCTTGAAATCTTCATATGAAAGTAGATAGACCCATTATGTTTTGCTAGTTTTCTAAATGTATTCCATCATGTTAGTCCTACAATAGATTAACACCCATACCTGTCCCTTTGATGGCTCAGACTGTACATCCAAACGATCACTGAACAAGAGCACCTTCATTTGAAGAGGCAGCAATTAAGCTAAGGTAACAGTACCAGTAATAAACTTCAAATATGCATCCAGATAAGCAAACTACCTTTTCCACCAATTGTTGATTTAGCTTATCAGTTGCAAGAACTTGCACGCCGAGGACCATGGCACATGTGTTTTCAGAAGAGCAGAAAGCACAAGTCATTGCATTGTACACACATCCATCCTTTGCAGACCAAACATGGCCCTGGTTTCTGAATTTGCCAAATATATTTTGGTTGAGTGAAGAAGCTTCGCACTCCACTACTTGTACCTCTGCTGGTGTTGATGCTGAAAAATCATCCTCCGGGAAGCCAGCAGCAGACAGCCCATGTCTCAAAAGATATGCCAAGTACAATTTCGACGAAGAAGATTGTGTACAAGTAACAAGAAACCCATCTTCTTCTAACCCAAGAGCTGTTTTGCATCTAATGCAACTTATAAGAAGTTTCTTCTGAATAGGCTTCTTTGCTGAAACCTCTTCTGGCTTGTAATTTCTTTCAAGCTTGACATTTTCACACCTGGACAATCCTATATTTTTACAACACAATTCAGAATTTCTATTCACATCCCCAGGCATAGCAGAACCAGTGTGGCAGAATGATTTGCTTGGAGAACTAGAACGCATCGTGTAAGTACAACAGCTCATTGGGGAGCTCAACCTTCTCTTTTTCTCGCAGTGAGAATTTACACTTCTGTTGATCAAAGACTCATGACAGTCTTTGTCGGTGGTTCTTTCAGGAGTAGCTGCCGGTGTGGACAGAGAAGAAATATTTCTATTTGTTGAAAAAAGCGAAATGGGCATGTCTACAATCTGATCTCCATTGTTGATCCGTACTGAGGTGTTTACCTCAGAATAGTTGCTGGGACTAGCTACTGGAGTCGCTGCAGAAGTTTCCTCAACAAGAGTAGGTTGCCTTGACCTGTCTTCTAATGGATTTAAGATAGTGATCTCTGCATACCTGTGCATGTGAAGACACCTATTTAAAGAAAAACAAATGATGATACAATAGTAGGAAAAAGAATGCCTGAAAAATGTTAAAATTACCGAGGTTTAAAATCATCATCCTCCAAATTTATAACTTCTGTTTTGACTCCATAATTTGCTCCAGTATTGGCTACACCTTCGAAATCAGACTGAATTTTGCAGGGAGGCAATGGATATGACATTGGAAGACTTTCAGGTGATGAAGAGTTTTCTTTCTTTATTAAAACAGAAGATCTCATAGAGATTTTCGATACTTCTGGCGATGTATAACACATGCCCATAACTTTTTGGTCTACCGCCACACCATCAGTGTTTGGAACTCTCTGACTAAGACATTCAGTCTTTACCTTCTGATTACATTGTGATACTGAGTGGTTTGAGGAACTCAATTCTGGCCATGGCAACTTTCTTTTATCATCACTGAGAGATTGAGGTGCTTTGCTATCCAACTTAACCTTGGGGAAGATGCCACAATCTTTGATTTTTATTTTTTCCTGAAGCGGTACCATGCATTTTAGAGAAGCCATCCACATTTAGAAAATCAAATGTGTATAAAGAGCAATACCTCAGCATTCTGAAAGAACTTTTGCAACTCAGCCATTGTCTCCTGGAAGCTATCATACTTCTTGATTGCATTCCTAAGCCATTTGGAAATGTAGGCAACATTTCTGCCTTCCTGATATCGCTCATCTGTACACCATATACATGGGAATTAAAAATGAAAACCACACACTCTATTTTCTAAAAAAGAGGAGCACTAAGCCATTTCACTTCTAAACAGTTATATCAATAAAATACCAAAACTTTATGTATCAACTTTTCTCTCTAGACATGCAAATGGTTGGGAGTGGATAACTGAATAACATACCAATCAGAATTATGCCTCCGTAATCAGATTTATGACGAATACAACGACCTACAGAAGACAAGGACAACAGTTAGCCATTGCCAATAGCTTAGCCACAGGCGATGCCTGACAGGTAAGTCAATAGCTAAATACCTGCAGCTTGATTTAAAGCACGAAATGCCTGATGACAGTACCATTCACTTCCACTTAACAAATGCTTTGATGATTTGTATGAATCATTATATCTCTTTTTCAGCTTTACTTGAACATCATTTCTGATCCATGTTGAATCAATGTTAGTATCTAAACAAAGAAAAACACATTGGATTTATTTACTAAAACAGAAAAAAAGAAAGGAAACAAACTTACATATTTGGAAAAGGAATTCCAACAATGACCTTATGTCTGGTTAAGGAAACAGATGAATATCAAAATCATTTATTGTATTGCATCAGAACAGGTATACCAATCATGCTACATGCCAGTAGGGGCAAATGGTTGATACTGAACTTTCTAGAGCATACAATTTAATATCAAAAAGGGAAACAAAGGATACCACAACTCTAGCATTGTCATCAGCGAAGTCAATCCCTTCAGATACCTAGAAATAAAATCAGGAGCCAGCAAAACATAAGCTAATGGTAGCTGGCATACGCACAACATTATGCATAAGAAATTTAAAGTAGGGTTTAAACATGTACATTAATTAATATAAACATTTAGTAATAAAATAGCACCTTCCCACGGCAAACTGCAAGAAGAGCAGCTCCTGCTTTCGCTGATTCCTGTGACAATTTTTTTGTCACTCGATTCTTCACTATTTGTTTTGAACCACCTCTGTCTTTCTTGACAGGAGCCTTACCAAGGATTGCATCATAGTACCCTTTTAAAACAGGATCGAGTTCCTCACTACTTCCCTTAGGCTCTGAAACAAATAAGTTTTGAATAAAGAACACAGAAAATTGAACATGACATAATACCGTCTTCTATTATTAGTGAAATGGCATTTTCAAATGCTTCAAAAGATCTTACCAACAAACACATGTTTTTGAGCATTAAGCCGTGCCCATTGACCTGTCTGAGACCAGCGCACTTGCAATTTGTCCAACAACTTGTAGCTAGGAAAAAACACTAGAGCACCACCAGGCACAATTCTGCATATTTCCTCTAGTGAAGCTCCAAGTTCATCCTATGTAAAAACGGGGAAAAAAATTAAAACACTGTAAAAATAGAATAATATTTTTAAATTAGGGTTCCTAACATATATATAATTCAATGAAAAGTTACCTGGAAAGATGAATTGTCCGCAGTTTTATAGCTAGCATTCAATATTTGCCTTGTTGGACCAGATGATAGCACAGCTGCAAAAACCTGCAAAGCCAAGATAGACTTAAAAAAATGCAAGTAATAGCTACTGTTTGGCATAGGTTATATTTGCCAATCTTTCTTCTAACCACAAAAGGTCCATAACTCCATGTCCAGGTCCTAAACAAACTAAGGGTTAGAGCTCATTAGGAAAATTATTTTCTTTGCTGGCAGTATGAGGGACAAATTAACCAGCCTTTAAACTGATGAAAATGAGAATCAATTCACAAGTCTTTGGAGAGGCTACAAATTACCATAAGGACAGCAAGGCTAATAAACCAGCTCTAAACAGAATTTTCGAGTTCAAACTGTGATATATAGAGTAGTGCATATCAAGTTCAAGCCTCAGAAGCACGGACACGGCAGGGAAGGGGCGTATCCCGTATCGGACGCCTGGGATACGTATCCGCGGCGTATCTGCGTATCCCAGCTTATTTGGGCTGGAAACTAACGATTGGAAACGTTTCGGCCCAGTCGATACGGCCCAGCCAGCCCAATAGCTTACCACCATCCCACCTTTACCCTACTCCCGTCTCCTGACCCCTCCCAGTCTCCCACGCGCAGCCGCCTCCGCCTCCGCCTCCGCCTCCGCCTCGGCCTCGCGCAGGTCCGCCTCCCGCTGGTCGCCAGTCCGCCTCCCGCCGGCCGCCAGTCAGCCTCCGCCCTCGCCGGCGACCAGCCTCCGCCCTCACCGCCAGCCCATGCAGCTCGCCCCCGCAGCGCCCGTCCCCTTCCGCCACGCACGCCTTGAGGACGGATGCGAGCGTGCACCCGTCGGGCGCCTATCCCAGGGCCGCTGACGCCCGCATGGCACCGTAGACTCGCAAGGCCTCGCCGCCGCTCCAGGACGAGTACGCCCCGACGAGCGCGTTCCAGGAGAAGACGGTCCGGGCGGGCATTCCGTTGAACAGGCGACAAGGGCATCCCCGACCAGCCTCCGCCCTCGCCGGCGACAAGGAGCCCCCTGCTTAGGTGAGTTCCTCTCCCTCCCCAATCCAATTTAGAGCTGAGCCAGTGCGCCATGCCCCGTTAGGCCAAAGGCCATTACCCCTTCCTGATTACTGATTAGAGCCTTTTTGATTTTGTCCAATGTTCATTGTCCAGTATGGCATCTCCAAATTTGAGTAGTGCAGGTAGTGCTAGTGCTACTGCTAGTGGTAGTGTGGGATCTGGGTCCAGAGAAACAACTGATATCAAGGCTCCGCTGTGGGATCATGTTATTCTGAGTGTAATAGACCTTAAATGTCTCTATGTTGAACTTGAACATCTATTTTGCAATTTAATATGCATTGTTATCTATTTATTAATAAAATAGTTAAAACGTATCCGCGTATCGGGTTGTTTAAGAAATTGCCGTATCCGTATCCTTCCGATACCGATACGCGTATCCGTATCCGTGCTACTTAGGTTCAAGCCATGCATATTATCTCAATAATGTAATTTTGCTAAAGCACTTCATGTAATTACATATTGGTACATTGGCATGCCAAAATATGCCATCAGATAAAGCTTGCAGATACAAATTACACCTCTCTTCTTTCCCTTTAGGTGAGATAGGAAATCCTCACTTCCAATGGTGAGTTCAAAACTTCAAATACTTTATGCACAGATTTTGCATTGTACAAAAGTGAACTAGTGTCTATTTGCAGCAAAAAAAATCGCATCCCGGTTTTGACCAATTACTCTGTCACCAAATAATTTTTTTGAATTTCAGAATCAAGAAACACAGTATTATCTTGATTCCTCTACTCAACGCCCAATAACACAAATCCATCACCATGCGGTTATGACATGATACAGCAGACAACTAGCAACATACGTACCTGAGAATCAGCATTAATTACATGAGGAGCTTCCATGCAAGCCTCAAACTGGACACCAAGTTCAGATGTAAAGGAACCCATTGGTGAAAGTGTTCTGCAGATACATGTAGTTTCAGTCTTTCAGAGCTGTAAATTATCTGACACTGGAAAGACTTAACAAGGCAATTTATAAGAACCTCAAAAGTTGCATATATCGCTGTATCTATATCTATATATCTTATAATCTTAAACCCTACTAGACTTCTATCTTGACATGCAAGCCATCTACATCAGCAGCCCGACTTCTATCTTGGTCCAAAAAAAGCCTTACGTAGGGTCGTTACTGACAGTCACTGCCTATTTGGTCCCCTCTCCCAAGAACAAAAGAAATGAAATGTTCAGTTATACAGTTCCAAACCAATGTGCAGTTCAAAGAATTGACATATTCAGACAAGCTACAGGCAGCATGTCTAGTTCCTCTTCCATGTTTTTTTCTCCTTCTAAATTTCACATTGACCATCTAATTAGATATCTGCTGCTTAACAGGGCCATTTTACCAGCTTATTGATAAGCGAGAAAAGGACTATCCAGACTTACCCAGAAGTCAGAATTACCGAAAGTGTTCGATCTGCAATTTCTTGAAAAACAACTGCAGGATTGAGACACCACAAACTCATTGTGCATCTTGAAGAAATTTCATCATTGCCTGTAAATGGTTCATATGATGAAATTACACAAATTGCTCCTTGAATTTAAAAATGGAATAGAGCTTGTTGGATATCCAAGCATATATACAACTTTATCACATTAAATCAGCAACCAAGTTCTTGACTTCAAGAACAGTACCAGTGTACCACTAATGGCTCAATTGCAGGATCTAAACTGCAAGATCTAGAGGATTGAATATATTCACAAATGTTCTGTTACTCTACTTCCATGTTAACAGGAAAAACTTATAACAGGAACTATGCTTTTTTCTAAAGGATAAACAAGCTTGCTACCTTCCTTTTTAACAAAACGCTGCAAAGCAAGCTGATAATCACACGAATTACGCCCTTTCTGACCAAAAAAGTAACTCAACGAAGAGAATAGACCTGCAAAAGATTGTATAACATCATTGGGTTATTAAGTGTATTCAAGATTGAATTAAATAAAGTAATCACCACTCTACTGCTTACTCTCTAGTGTCATAGCACGACCACCACTCAAGTGTGATCCATCTGATTCAGTATCTGAAGCAGCTTTAATCGCCTAAAGCAAGAAGGAAGTTGAAAATCTGAATGTTTCACAGCCACATAAAAGATCAATATATGCAACAACTGCACTGTGGTATAAAAAGCACCTTTGTTGCACATTCTTGCAATACCGGGAAATACATTGGAGAAATACCAGCCCGCTGAAGTTCATTCATTGCCTTTTCACCAGTCCAACTGATGATTACAAAAGGTTAAGTCCACTGATGGTATGAAAAACATCAGTGCTGCATTGTAAACATTTAGTGATTCTAATGGGTTACACAGTCGAAAGTTCATGGATATATTTCGCAAACCCAATATTTTGTTTTTTTAATATCAAGGAAATGATTTTATTTCTTTTAGATAATACACTAACAATTAGACACGAATAGTGATAAGTTGCTAGCATCAACTTATGTTGCTAAGCAAGTAATGGCTCAACATTTGATAACAAGTAGGCTAAAGATAGTCCATCTAATGGCCATGGCTAACCAGTAACCACAAGTCAATTTGTCAACTTATGTTGCACAATCAAGCAATGGATCGATTTCTCGAAATGTAATTTACTAGATTGCAGTGTTAAACTGTATAGTTTTTTCGTTACATTATGTTTAACCATCTACACGTATGGAAGATGAAGTGGCAATCACTTCTCTTTTAAGATGAGAAGTTAAAAAATGGTAATCAATAAATCATATAAGAAGAGTCTCAGACTACATACTATGAAGCGGGATGTCCGAACTCATGATTATGCAGATTGTCCTCCCGCTCAGCAATCCAACCAATAAGACCCTGCAGAAGTACTAAAAGCTTAGCTCTAAGAGTAATATTAATACTAACACTATCCTTCCTTTTTCTGGAAAAGAACAGGGCAATTAACTCTCTTCTCTTCTTGTAGAAGTACCTGAATAATATCGTGCAAGGGTTGGTATATCATTGCAACAGCCTCATCAGTGGCCAAGTTTTGAAGTTCTCCCTGCAACACTTTGCCATAGTGAATTAGCTTTAGCATGTGTTTTAAATTTTAATAGAACATGAATTTTAACTGAACAATCATGGAATTTGACTTACAGCAAAGTGATTCTTCATCGATGTCAACACTGCCAGCATCACGTGCTATGTCTTCTATGTTGCTGAGAAAAGAGGACGCAATATGAAGAAAAATAATTGGAATTCAGGCTCCACCATGTCACAAGACTATAATTGCTATGGATATAATGAGGGTCACATAAAAACTTTTGAAGTACAAGGAAATCAACAGGTAGCTGAAAAGAGTCATAGAAGTGAAGTCTTACTGTGCCTCATCAAGAATAATGATGGAACCGCTGATATCGATGTCCATTGCTCTCCTGACAACCGGACTAATCAGGTAGTTATATGGGCAGAAAACCAATTGTGCTGCTTCTGCCATGTGCTGTGCAGCAAAATATGGGCATCCTGCCAATAACAGGAAAAGAGATAATTGAATAGGTATCAGCAGTGACCAGATCAGAGCCAGACTATCCTCAGGAGGAAACAAGTGCAACTAAAAGGTATTTACATACCCTTTGCTTTCCGTCCAACTCTGACAAGATCTTCAATATCGTGAACTTCATAGCAGCCGCCAATCTGAAGGGATGGATGCCGACTTAGTTTCTGAGCATTCCTGCAAGTTTTAACTGATTGCATTAAAATTCGAAGAGAAACAAGATGCTCTCCTGGCTAATTATATGTTCTGACGTTGAAAAGATAGGAAACCTCACTTGAATTCCGGGCAACCTTGAATCGTCTTGTCTAGCAGCGACTTGCTGATGAGGGAAGTTCAATTAGAAGTTCAGTTAGCAATGACAATGCAAGAGCTTTGTAAGAACTAATCTATTATGTACAGTAAGTACCATTGCTCATCAATGTTGTCGCTCGCGCAAGCAACCTGATTGACACAGTAGTGCTTCCTTGAGGCCTGCATTGCCAGAGTACAGAGTCTAAGCAGTAGTCTTAATTCTATTTGCCTCTGCTACTCTAGTTGGATGATGAGTACGACGTCTCTTTCTTACCAGAGAATAAGGCAAGAAATAAAATAAATTCAGATGGAAATAGGCGTTACCAAGATGGCCATGCGCACTCGGTACGACGTCTTGCGGTACTCCCGGACAACCTGGCTTATCTGCGCGTGCGTCCTCCTTCAGAAACACAAGCAACGAATAAATCAATCAAGATCATCCAATCCCCTCATCAGTTCGAGTTAATAGACAGAGATCCTACGTCGCGTAATAGATTGTCGGCGCGTTCTTCTTCTTGACAGCCTTCTCCGGGACGACTGAACAATAAAGAACCCCAAAAACGTAAAATGAGCAAAGGACAAGCCACAGATTACCAAGAAAGAGCAGTTCTTGGTCCAAGAATCCCCGAACGATAGAATAGAGAGGAAAGGAAGAGCGTGGCGCACCTGTTGTCGTCTGTGGCTGGGTATTGTCGGGGACGAATCCTCCGCCGTGGAGGAATGGATCGGGGGCGGGAGCGGGAGGGGAGCGGAGCGGGTAGTGCCGCTGCCAGGCGAGCGCGGAGCAGAGGAGGGAGAGCGACTTGCCGGTGCCTGTGGGCGACTCGAGGAGGGCGTGGGAGCGCCCCTGCCGCCGCGCACGGTCGAGCGTGGCGATGACCCGCCCCATGAACGCCAGCTGCGTCCCGTAGGGCTTGTAGGGGAACTCCACCGGCACGCCGCCCACCTGGTACACGCCTCCGCCTCCTCCTTCCGCCCGCGCGCGCGGGGCGGGCGGCGGCGAGGCGAAGTCGTCGTCATCGGCCATGGCGGCGCCGCCCATCGGCGGGTGGCAGAGAGGATTTGGGTGGTGGTGGTGGTTTGGGGCTTTGGGCGGGAGGAATTGGGGGGAAATGCGAAGCAGAAGTCGCTCGAAATGTCGTCGCGCGCCACCTGATATCGTGTCGCGAGATGGGTTTGTGATCTTGGGCCAATGTACCTTGGCCCAATAGGATTTAGCCCACTGGCAGGTTGAGATCATAGAAGGAAGCGATCTGGTCTGACCAGTTCATCCTCATTCGGTTCCTAAAAAAACAAAAAATCTGGTCACCTCATCGGTTCATCCTCATTCCCATTCCACCAAATTACAGAGTATTTTTCACCGGAGAGAGTATTTTTAATTACTTTTTTACAAAAGAAGAAAAATGAGAACCATCATTTGAAAACAGGCAGGCCCTTGGCGGTTGGTGCAATGGTGTTGGCTAGAGGAAACAAGCACGGCGGCTTCACAAAGGTGTCACACCCATCTCAACTTTAACTAATCACATTGGCACGGTTGAATGGAGTTTTACATAGATTTCCATGGCATGAATTGTTGTAACAACTAACAAACCAGAATGTACAAACTTTACAACATGCCGTGGCAAACCCCACTCGCCTGTCAGGTGATGGGCGCCGTTTAATCTCTTAGTCATGAATGAATACCTAGTATGTGTACAATTGTACAGCACAGTGAAATTCCACTCGCTTCTCTACAAACTATACAAAACACAGAGCCTTTTATCTGATTCAAATCATTTGCTATTGTCCTACAGCTACTGGCCCCGGCGTAGCTTTCTCAGTCGTTCGAGGCGCATCTGAGCACGCTCAAGGCTGGGTTCATGGTGCCCCAAGCCGTGCCAGGTCTCTGCCTGCGTTCCACTCAGCATTTGGAGCCTCGCCAGCTCATCGTGGAGGGATGCGACGTTCAAGATGGGCACAGTGGTTGGGCGCCCATGAGCACACTGCAAGACAGTAAAGCTTATCTCCATCACTGTACCACAGAGTAACAGCAGATACAAGGACCAAGGATTCAAAAATCTTACCTGGAAGCATAGAGATGTTGCTTTCAGTTCTTCAATAATCAGACAGCACTCAGATGGTAGTAAGGAGTCGCCAAACATGATCGCCCCTACAGTAAGCCACCAAGAAACACCAAAAAGCAATGTTTTATCAGTGTGAAAATATACAGAAATGCTTGCATCATGGACAATTACGAGGCGAATAAGTAGTGACCTCTGCAAGCTTTGAAGTTAAGAATACGGAGAACTGCTGGGGGGATATCTGACGATCCATCAGTCTCATCAAGCTGGAAGAAACAGTAATAGGTAACATGAGTAAAGGTAAATGAACTCAACAAAATCTGCACATACAATTCTTTTTCTCGAAGATGCAGGAGAGTTGCGTATCATTATATTATAGAAGAAGGAAAACAGATAAAGAACCCTGAATAAACCACACACACATACAGGAACGTAGATTACATGCTCGCCCGTGACAATTATAGAAACCACCACAAAAACCGCTAACCACTACCCATCGGGGATAGCTATCAAGAGGTAAAGCCCCGGAATCCCAGCCAATTCAGAGCTACAGCTCATCTGCAGCAAGCAGCAAGGCTCCCAGCTGCCGCTAAGCTAGGCGCCAAGCCATCAAAGACACATCGGTTCCAATGTTTCCAAAGAGTCCATGCTCGACATACCATTTTCATTCCAGAAAGTATTAAGATGAAAATCTAGGGTCCTTCACTCGTAGAACTTTTGTGCAAGTGAATGAGAATGTTTTAGTAAAAAATATAAGTTGTACATCATAAGATGGTGGCAGTTACCTGCCAAATAAACTCCATGAGATCTTTCCCAGTCAATTTGACACCCAAAATACATGGAACCTGTGTAGCATAGAAGATATTTAGTGTAAATAGATACCACATTACAGTTTTTATATCTGCAGATATTTGGCATATGACAGATCTGGGTTCACCTTTTCAACTCGTGCTTGCCAGTAGTCTATGCACAATTTATGGATACTAAATTAGTTACAGTGGGTTTGATAGCCTATTTGTTACTATAAAACGTAAACAGACAATAAATAGAAATACAAATCTATAGACCATCATGTCTAGCAGATTAGGGGAAACCATGTACATAAACTGATAAGAGACAGAAAAGCCACCGTGTCCAGCAGATTAAGCAAAACATATACAATCAGTAATTTCAAACATGTTGAATGGTACAGACAGAAGAAAGGGTGTTCCTTACAGCAACAAGAGTAACAAGACGGACTTGTCTCTTCAGAATGTTCATGTTCCTAAAACATACAAAGTAAATGATCAAATGACAGTCGTATATTTGATCTATATAGATGAGGTGAATAGCTTTTGCACTTAAAGAATAGTCAGAGAATGGTGAATCACCTACTTTTTGAATGATTCCGATGAATAGCTCCCGCTGCTGATGATCCAGCCCCATTTCTGAATCTGCTCAGCATACTTCTGGAATAGTTGAAACCCAGTCTCAGGGAGAGACTGAAAGAAAATTGGGGTGAGTGAAATATTGAATGTCGCATATTAGTATTAAAACAAGTTCATGAATGCTATACCACATACCAATTCCTCCTCAGAGTCCAAGTAACTAACTTCATGTCCTTCTTCTGATAAAACCTGCAGATCGCATCAGTGTATGAGTATGAAAAGCGTAAAACAATGTTGAATAGTTGTTCCTGGTCAATGTATTATTAACAACCTTCCTACGGAGCTCCTCTAAACGTATCCTTTCATCAGCTGCATGCTGTACACAGTAAAAAAGAACATAACTTGCTAAATCTTTTTTAAACAAAACCATTTCATCAGCATTTCATATTTAGAAACTATTGTGCACTTAACGATTTAACTGATCCAATGCAGCAAGCACTAAATAGTATTTCCACAACATGATTATTCCAACAAAAATAATAGGAATAGATAATATGCTAGAATCTATAACAATGGTGTCAAAGCCCTAAAAAAATCATGTTATCAATTATGAACCTGGACCCCTTGCTAAATGAGAATTTGAACCTGATCGACAAGGAGGATAGTTTCCCCAGATATGACGGGAATAAATTTCTTGTCCAGCTGCAACAAAACCCTTGCCTCCTCAAAGCAGTTCTTGTCAACACATTCAGGAATTAGCGGGTTACAAGAGAGATGTAAGGTTCCAGAAGAAATGCTAAGTATATCATCATAGCATCCAACAGGACCATGTGGCAAGTTCAAAGCCTACAAAGGGAGGTAAAGCACTGAGAAGATAACAAGACACATAGTAGCAAGGACGTATGGAACTTTCTCTGTGTTAGTATCCCAAACTCAAATGCAGCTTAACTGTATGCTGGACAGGGTCATCTCGCCATTTAGTTATTTGAGCAGTGGAGTCCTCAATCCCATCAGAACATGCAACTTCAGACATTTTCACAAATCTGTTTGAGCTGTCCCAAACGAGAGTGTATAGTAACGGGCTTAGAAAGATATTTTCAAGTACTGAAGGTATATCCAGGAAACTAGGCAAGATGAGTATACCTGAAATTTAAGTCTGGAAAATCACCGCTATCAGTCTCAGGAACAGGCTGGGTTGAACTCATACATGAGATATCCACAGGTGCAGGTGCATTGTCTGCATTTGATTAGAAGTGTGTAATGTTAGTTCTCATAAAATGCAATTCATAAAGGGCCAAAGTTTGGATGTACCTTCGGGGTTATTGATGCAAATATCTTTATCGCTATCTGTGATCGGTTTGCTCAGTGGCACATTTAATCTAGAGAATTTTAGTTTCCCTCTATAAAATGGTGGAGCAGAATGACTCCTAAATCTACTACCCTTGGAAGTCCTGGGTCTCTGATTTAGTCCAGAGTTGTGTTGATTCAGCAGATCTTGAGTAAGCAGGCTGCCATTTGCCATATTCGAAGAAGGAACATTCAAACGGCGACCATTATCACTTCTCTCAGGAGAAATATTGACTGACAACCTCTTGTCGAATTTTGATTTCCAAGTTATCAGGTCTTCTTCAGAACCAAGCTGGTCGGTTGAACCACACTTATTATTGAAGTAATTAAGCGGCTGTATTTCATTGTCAAAGTTATCGAAATGTTTAGTTCCTTCAAATATTATAGACGAATCATTGCTAAATCTGTCCGAATCAAATCTAACATTGCTGTCAACATTTTCACATTTCCAAGAACTAAAGCATTTATCTGATTTCCTGTTAAGTGTGTGCAAGGTCCTTGGATGACTGCAAGGCGTATCAGCCAACAAGGATGGATGAGGAAAATGATTTAAAGTATCCTTGTTGGAGGACCTATCTATCAAGTCACTGTTCCACAGAGCATGAATATCAGGGAAATTCATCTGGTTAATAGCATCAGCCTCTAGCACTTCAACACATCCAGCTGCAGTCCCCAACTTCTTACTGGCTCTGAACTTTCTCAAAACTCTACAGCAGCCCCTGGAAGTGCTACCATCATGATAAAATCCATTACTGAACTGTAACATCTCTGGGTAAGAAATATCAGTGATTGTTTCTGTGGCTTCATTGAAGCAATCCCCATTTAATTTATCAAACTTGTCATATAATCCATCCCAGCCTGAGGTTTGTGCTTTTAAGTTGGTTTTATATTGCACAAAATCAGACATCATTCCGTTTGGCCTATTGAGAGCCCTGAAGCAAGATTCTGGTATTTCAACTTCTGGACCAATCAGCTCAGACTCTTGTTTGTGAGCGAAAAAACCTTCAGTTGGCACATCTTCCAGCATTCCAAGATTACCAGAATATGCATACTCATGGAATATACCTTCTGTCCTTTGCCTTTTCCAACAAGTTGGGCTAACACTTGAAATATCATCATCTAACTGGGAAGGGCCATCGTCTAACCACTTATAACTGCCACTTTCAGGAGAATGCATTTGCTTATACCCTAACTTGTAATCAATACTGGCAACATTGTCATTCGGGCGGCTTGAATTAGTGATCCTTCCAGAGAAACAGACATTCTGAATGGATGGCTCCAAAACAAAAGAAAAGCAGCGTGAATTTCTTGTTGCTCTTGTGGAACTCATATCACTGTTGGTGTCTCTGACTGCATTCTTCTGCTGAGTGCTTTCGAAGTCAGCATACTCCTTCTCGTTCTGCACATTATGATCTTTCAGGATGCCCATATTCAATTTCACTGCAACAGCACCGTATGAGAAAAGCTCAGAAGCTTAACAGATAAAAGGATACAAAACTGAAGTCTGTTCAACAAGCCACCAACCATGATTTTTGTGAGGCACATGGGTACCATTAGCACAAGCTCCATCTGCCAATAAAAGGTTACAGTGCATTCACACCAATAATTGTCCATTTCACAAAGACATAAGCAAGGAGCATTGAGGTCGCATTGTCTAACCTTTTGGTGATTGCAGTTGATGCTTCTTCCAGTAGTTTGTGACAGTTTGTTCAAAGAAAAGCAAGACAGTTCGCCAATCCTAGAAGTGGGAAAAATAAGGGAGATTAATTAGCCAGCAACAGAGAGTAAACTATTTACAGATGAAACAACATAATGCCATGTTTCCAAATAGGCACAAAGACATTTTGCCTAAGACACAGTCCTACTCATACAGGAACGTTAGCTACATTTTTTAACAACAAAAAAATAGTGACCGGCAGGAGAACCACCTATTTTAATAATGGGAAAATGGTGTTCTTGCCCCTTACACAGATGTGCAATTGTGATTTTGCCCTCGTTTTTCTAACTTTGTGATTTTGCCCTTAACTGTTCACAAGTCAACGCGATTTTGCCCCTGGTCAACGGTAAAAACAGGGGCAAATTCGCGTTGACTTGTGAACAGTTAAGGGCAAAATCACAAAGTTAGAAAAACGAGGGCAAAATCACAATTGCACATCAAAGTAGGGGCAAGAACACAAGAGCCCAGGGTGTTGTACAAGAGGTGGCTAAACCAAACATTAGATACAAATGAAGCTTACTACAAACAAGGAAACTCAAAAGCATAGAGCTTTAGTGAATAACCTTGAATTCCACAATGGTTTTTGTAGGCTCAAAATGTAGATCATAGCTGGATCTAGGGCAGTAAAAGTTTAGTATAAAAGCAGGGTAGATATCAGTCTTCTGCCTCTTCCTGCTCTGAACATCAATTTCTTCATCCCCCCCTTATAATAGAAGATTGAAAACTAGATGCCAGATTATTGAGCATATTATAAATCGGGTTCCTATTCACGAATCTTGAGTTGATATCTTTGAAAAGTCAAGGACGTCTCCAAAAATTTAAAGATAGCAAATAGAAGTATATAACAGTGGATTAGTGAGGAGGATACACAAGTATTGGACATCCTGAAAAGGAGAATTGAACTTGCTGAAAACACATCATCAAACAGCTTCAACAGGTCATAGCTTAAACAGTGACTTTACCTTCGTACAAAACACATCTGCAGGTCCAGATATGTGACCTGAAAGAACCCAGCCCTGGTCAGAGGCAGTTATCTCATGGAGACATCTGGAGACATCATCCCCCCAATTTTTTGATATAAGAGGCAAAGGGGATGACGAAAAGGTTGTGTATAGCAATTCATCTTCACTGCATTAATAAAACAGGCATGTCAATATGTGCTGTACAAGTAAAATTGTATAAATGTAAAAATTAATACATCAAGCTTAGCACAATAGATAACCTGTCAATATCAAGGAGTCTGAGTGAAATCTGTGGATGAATAAGCGCAATTTGCAGGACACACTTCTTCACATGATGTAGTTCTCTTTTCTCACTAAAAAAATATGATATGGCTAAATATCAATGAAATAATATATTGAGCAAAGCTGAGAATACAAAGACATCTGCACACAAACAGCAGTAACAATTATCTCACATACCTAGATTGTATTTGTTTCCTCCGTACTGGTTGATTGTAAAAAAGCTCCCGAACAACAACTGCAAAGATGAAAGGCCTGATAACTAGCCCTCATAACATCAGAAAAATATAACTAACAGTCACGACCGGGGTCTTGAATAGACTGTTACCATCTTACACTATGTACTATTACGAATATAGTGGCACTACTCTGTTTCAAGGAGAAAATAGAACAGTTACCAGTGGTGCCGACAACTTCCCTCTTGTCATCTATCCCCAGATGTAAGCATTTAGATCCCTGTGCAATTGTCACAAGAACTCAGATGTACTAGCCATGGATAAATCAAGATTAAAGAAGCTCAGTCTTACGATCATGCCTTTATTATCTTGCAATATGAATTTGGTCTCCCACGAGCTTTCGTCCTGACTTCAACCACAGAGATATCAGAAAGTGATGCGAGTGCTTCTCCATTTAGTCCAAAACTTCTAGAACTGAGCTCCTTGTCAACCATCACATTATGAAATTTGGATGTTGCTGTTGTACAGTTATAGTAAAAGTAAAGCATGTATCATTAGCACAGTTGAACCACATGCTGCCATTGAGTATTTTTAGTCTTTCAGAACCTACACGCTTTCAGGTGATGAGCCTATACTTAACGGAAAAGTGAAAACAAATAACATAATCAGTTTTAACACTGATGGCAGGGCTCCCAGCTTGTCAAATAAATAATAATAGTAATATTTTTTTAACAAATAGAATGGATGTCATTTTTGTTGTTATGTCCTAAGAAAATCAGGAATTCCCTATTCTACATCTGATATCTGTGGAATAAGATGAACATCCAGAAAACCATTTTTCTTTATGTTGTATCATTTACAGCAATAGAATTTAACATGACAAACAGTCTCATGAAATGAAGGAAAACTGAGAAAGATAGCAAATAAATAATAATAATAATAAGTTCTGGCTTACTATATTTTTCTCCCAAGAGAACCAATTCATCTCGTGTAATACCACAACCTGCAATTCGTACGATGTATGGCAATAATGTTTTTGGAAGATAAACATATAAGATTTTTTTACAGAAAAAAGAAAAGGATAGGTACATACCATTATCTTCCACTTTTACATAACAAGTTCTGATGTTTACTCCAATGTCAATCTGAAATTCAAACAGAATAAATGTATGTTGATGATAATGCATGGCATAGAAGACATTATACATTGCTTTTTCCCTTCTCCACATGTAAAGCAATACCTTACTCGCATTCGCATCAATGCTATTATATACCAACTCCTCAATAACCCTTGGCAGGTCAGACAGAATAACACTTGAGCGCAAGGAACTATGGACACTCTGCGGCAAGCGCTTTATGGTCTGCATTTACTCATTCTGGGGAAAACATGCTGAAATAAGAAAATAGTTGATAATGAAAGACATATGCTAGCATAACAAATGGGTAACGTAAAATTTCTGTTCAATAAATATGTTGAAACCAAAGTTTTAAACAACATTTGTAGCCGCATGCAGCCAGACAACAAAACATGGGTATTGCCATTCCCAAGCCAAAATAAAATGTCCAATCCAACTTTTTTAGGAAATGCCCGATCCAAAACTACAAAAAGATCTTGGCCACTAAGTCTTCAAATTAATCAATTTCTTGTTCATTTGCAAAGCTCTACTATCTACAGGTAGAACATGCACACTGATTAACTAAATGACGATATCAATTATGCTAGAACCAGACAAAAAATTGAAATTAGAAATTCTCTCGGCAGCTCAGTAAATCGGTCCTCACCCATGGCTGCGCATGCGTGGCTGCCAGGTGCAGATCCAATAAAGGACATGGGTGTACACATGTACACCCAATAATTTTTGGAAAAAAATAATAATCAAAGTTAGTAGGCATACTACATGTATATCCTTGGGGTTAGATCCAATCCGAATACAGATGGCCAAATAGCTTAAATGAGGGTTCAGGTGCTCAGTTGCCCGTTTTGCACAGGAGAAAGAGAAGATAAGGGGCGGGCATACCCAGTGGTGGATCCAGGAATGGAGGGGGGGCTGCCGAGCGAATCTTTAGGAACTAAGTTTAAGATGGCTTAACATCAAGACCAAACTTGGACACTTCAACATGTAAATTGATGATAACATTAAATTCAAAAACAAAAAATTAACTGTTGAGTATTATGTATTTCTGTCAAATAATACATATGGAGAATTTCTGCCAAAAAAATCTACTAGTTGAGTATTTCTATCAAATTGAGCAATACTTACAAGGCATTCATGTTTTGTAAGTAACCAATTAACTCCCATTCCTTTACTTACATGAATTGATCAAAAAATAACAATCGACAATTAAAATGGGATGAAATAATGAATCAATACTTCAATCATGTGCTTGCAGTTTCCATAAGCTGCTAAGCACAACACTGCAGTCTACAGCAGTGGTCAGTGGAGAGGGAGGGGAGAGGCAGTTGCCGACTTTGCCGTGCGGCCGCGCGGAAGTGGCCACGGACCTGGATGCCGGGGGCGTCGTCGTGCTCCGAGAAGCCGGCGGGCAGCGACGGGAGGTGACCCAGGCGCCTGGCTAGGGACGGATTTTGGGGAGGAGGGGAGGAGGGGAAGGAGGCGCCGAGGGGACGGATTTGGGGAGGGCCGGAGGGGGCAGGACCGCGAGAGACGCCGAGGAGCCGGCGGGCAGCGACGACGAGGACGGGACTGCGGGAGGCGGGACTGGCGGAGGACGCCGGACGGGACGAGCTCGAAAATACTTGCGGGAATGTTTACTGGGCCGATTTCTCTTCTTTTTTCAGCGTGGTTAGCTGGAATTTTGCTACTGCAGCATTTTCGTTTTTTTTAATTAGTGTTTAATTATGGATTAATTAGGCTCAAAACGTTCGTCTCGCGATTTCCAACCAAACTGTGTAATTAATTTTTTTTCGTCTACATTTAATGCTCCATACACGTATCGTAAGATATAATGTGATGGCTACTGTAGCTTTTTTTTAACTTTTTTTTAATTAGACACGGGTTTTCCCGTGCACGCCATGAGACTTGGTTTTCTTTTTTTTATTTTTTCTTCTCGCTATTTTTATTATTATAACTCTCTGTTTTTGCAGATCCACTTGTGAAGCCTTTTTCCGGTTTAGGGCTACTTTGGCAACCAAAAATCCCGTCGGGTTCCTGTGTTTTCCTGGGGCAGAAAACCACGTCACAATCTCCCCCGGGTAATCTGTCGTGCTGTTTGGAAGCACACCAAACCTGGAATTGCTACCCGCTTCCCTTCGTTTTCCACGCGGGAGAATTCCACGAGTCACGAGGCCGAAAGCATTTCCCCTTCCCCGACCCCATCGCTCGCGAGGCCGCCGCCGATGCCACCATCACCCCCGGCAGCTGATGGCCGGCGCATCGCTGCTGGTGTGCATCTCCCGGTGGCCGGCGATTCATCTCTCGCGAATCGCGGCCGTGTCGCTGCCGCCACAAGATCCACCTCTCAGGAGCAGCACCTCCACCTCAGCCTCGTCCTTCCAGCACGGCAAAATCTTGTAGATCTTGGGGCCGCTGAGCTGCCGCATCCTCCTCCCTACTCCTGCGTCTGGCTAAGCACTGCGCCATCGACCTATTTCCATGCCTAGTTCAACTGAAGCGCGGTGAGTATGCACCCTATCGTTCTTGTTTGGTAAGCTGTGAAAAGGATGGGGATATCTGGAATCTGATGGCTTTTTATGCTTGCTTATTTTTCTTGTCATATTTGTGTGGTGATTTTTGCGAGATTTGTTATTCATATGTCTACCCGATCCGAACTATTTGCCTCGTGAATTTTATTCATGCTCATAAGTATGCAGTCTGGGTATTGCAAAATTTGTGGTTCTTGTCTGACTAATTCATGGTCAGTAGTAGCACGAAATTAGGCTGGCTATTGCAATTAGTCGACGAAATTTCAGTAGTAGCTAACAGATTAGTTGCAAATCATGGTTAGTGATTCTGGAAAATAGTTGTTTATCACAAGAACCTGAATTTTCGCATCTGTTTAACCTACAAGAAATTGGTGTTATGAAGAAGTTTAGGAATATGTAGCTGTTCATGAACGTCCGATGGGTTACATCAATGAATCTGGACACAGATATGGCTTTTCTTTCAGAACAAAAAACGGAACTCTATTCATTCATTACTAGCTCCTCTGTTCATCCAGTACAACATCTGACAAGAAACTGAACTCCTGATTTTATGCAGCCAATCTTGAGAGGAGGGATAGTGACCCGGAGGCAACACATATGTGTGATGCTTGTCTTATCTCAGAACTTTCTTCGATTGCAAGCATTGATCGAGTTTACAGGCATATACCCTCTTATTTGTTTTGTTGCTTCATTTCCTAAGGTAGCGTGTACTATTGAATGCACTGTTATTATGACTTAAGTTGAGTAGTTTTTTTACGTTATGAGTTTGAAAAGTTTCACAATTTCAAGAAGTTCCTAAATGTTTTAGACTTCAATAATGCTCTTGGTATATATGGCAACTTGGCTGAGTTTGTTGCTTGGTTGATATTTCTGGTGTAGCTCCTGAAGCATGATATATGCATATGTTTTGAACTGTCAGCGACATATTTTGTAGTCCTTGAAACCATGGTCAGTAAACTTGATTGGTGATGTATCCACAAAATATAAGTACCACACATTGTTAAGTATTGCCAACTTATCTGGAATTGAAATTGTGTTACCAGCTTATCTGGAATTGAAAGTGTAAATGCTGGTGCACATTTCTTGTTCTTGCTTCTCTCCCTGATTTGATTGCTCTCAAATACCAGATCTAAAGCCTCGTGCGATTGAAAACTGCAATATAAGATGTGGTCACGATGATCCAGTGCTGGTGAGTTTGTTGTTGATACACAAGTCTATCCTTTCTAGGCTAATTAAGTTCTGAGGTGGCACCAGATGTCCAGACTTTTAGCCTATCAATTTGTCTGCCTTTTACTAACAATTTTTTAGTTTGGAACAGACGGCGTACCTGAAGGCCAGCGACTTGGTATTATTTGAAACTGGAGGTCGACATGAAAGCTAGAGACACACTGAATTGTTGAAAATAACTTCTAAATTTGTTTAGAAATTACTAAAGTTTGTGATTCATTCTTAAGTTCATTAGTACTGAATTAGGACCTAAGGTGCATAAATTCAGCTGAGATGTCGCTCATCAGTTCATTGGGGAGCTATTTAATAGCTAGCACGTTTGTGCCTTACGGAATGTATGATTTGATTAAGGAAATATATTTTAAAGTATAACATCTTTTTGTTTCTTTGTTTTTGTTTTCAGAATATTTCCGCGAACTGTGTTTGAATGTGTTTATTTGGAATTCAAAACATTGTGCAATTTACATTACAGGCTTAGAATAAGCAAAGCTCATAGTCAATAGTCATAATAAACATGCAAGTTCTATAGGTTGACATTACGACGTGCAGGCTGCCCCAACCGCGAGCTGCCTTGTCAAACCTGCAATTCTACAACCCGAACTGTGCTTCCAAACAGCGACATGAATTGGGGGAAGAATGGGGGAACGGCTCCCAGGGAAATGATTATCCAATTAATTCCCCGTAGGGGGTCCGTGCCCTGGGCAAATCGGCCCCTGTTTCCAAAGTAGCCCTTAGGGATAAATTTTGTTATTGGTCTTTTAAAATTTGTATTTTAATTCATTTTTGTAATTTTTTATTTCACATACTTTTTATAGTGTGACATGTATATATGTTGTAGAGGACATTTCGTTAAAATATTGTGTGATAACACATATATATATAGTGATTGATTATGACTCCCATAATATAAGTGAATCGACAACGTCCCTAAAGAGTTATAGAGGTGAAAAGCCTCCCTAAAAGTCCTCCTTTATGACACTACTATGATTTTTAAGGGTGTGTAATTTTTTAGGCACAATTGGCATAAGAAATGTTGGTGTTTTTACCTCTGACTAGTAATAATCGATGTATCTAATTAGAGCAATAACACACGGAACACATATTTATACTAATGCCATAATAGAATATCCTAGGCCCAGTGTATGATGATGCTTTTTATTGTTTGTGTATAAATGCATGTGCAATATCACTAGAAGATCATTCATATATTCGAACCATCTTTAAATTCATGTGTAAATGCAATGTAATTTATCTTTCTACATTTATAGCTTGCTTCCAAAACGTTTGAAAGGTGACATGTTCACACACCCAATCGTAGAGCTAGGAATCTTGTTGCAATGGGCAATTATGTATACATGGATAACATATCCAAGTAGTGTTATCAAAAATCAACTCGACCAAAATTTCCATTCCATTTTATAGTGGCCATTTTTATATCGTCGTACACTTCCAATACATATATCTATTATTATATCTAAATAGGAGAGTGCATCAGCATATTTCTCTATAATTTGGTGAAGTCACGTCATCCAAATTTGCTATTGTCCTCTTCCTTGTCATAATCAGAAGAAACACCGACGGATGTCTGAACTCCTCTGATGAGGGACATCATATAGATGGATCATGAGCATTCAAGTGTATTCAAGCATATGAATTCAAACTAGATTTTGATACTAAGAGTTAGAGGAGAAATCTGATTTTACTACTAGGATCATAAATTCAAACTGAGTTTTACCTCTATGTTTCATGGAGAGTTGCTTAGTCTAGAAGTAATGTGATGTCATAGCATATGTCATATACATGATACTAGAAGATACTAAGGTGTCCTATGAGTTGTTTCTTAGGTGTCATTGAGTAATATATTAGTTGTCATGTTAGTTGTCATCTAGTAGGCTATTAGTTGTCATATTAGGTGTATATGAGTTGTGTAAGGGCTCATAGCCTATAAATAGAGGCAATGTCCTCAAGTTTTGTAACTTTTGTCTCGTATTTCTCACCATATGAATAGAACTCCGGGTTTCTATCTTAAGATCTTGGACTAGATCTTGTTCTTGAGCTTTGGATTGAGCTCGTATTTATCCGTGGATTCGGACTGCCCATAGGGCGTTATCTACTAGCACGTTGAAGTTGTTCCTTCAACACTTTTATGCTATTTCTATATATCAGCACCTTGGAGTTGATCCTCCAAAAAAGTGTGTTGCATCAGATTGGTATCGGAGCCTCGTTGATCATCTCAGGCTGCCATTTTCCTTGCAAGAAATCTACAAGAAGATATAGGAAAGATGGAGGAATTGGGCAAGAGGATGGATGATGCGGAAAAGCAAATTCAAGATTTACATGAAACACTCAATAGGAGGTTTGATCAACTAGCAGAAATGATTAGAAATCATATCCATGCTGCTAGCACTAAAGCTAACTCATCAAAAGATAAGGTTGATCAAGAATGGCGTAAACAAGCTACTCTTGAAGCCAAGCTACAACCAAGGCTTGGTGAGCACAGAAAATCACCTCATATTGATGATCTAGAAGACAAAGATCTTAGTGAACTTATCGGATATCTATACCCGGGTATCCGAGCCAAAGGATTAAAGAGCGTCACGTCGCCTCATCCGATGGTTAAAGATGTAGCTACGGCCTTGTCCGACTCCGAGGGCGAAGTTTCCACCTCGTCCGACCCCTAGGGGCCGGGCCACGCCTCGTCCGACGCCGAGGATGAGGTTTCCACCTCGTCCGACCCCCAGGGGCCGGGCCCCGCCTCATCCGACGTCGAGAATGAGGTTTCCACATCGTCCGACCCCCAGGGGCCGGGACACGCCTCGTCCGGTCCCACGGGGAGGGCCCCGCCACGTCCGACCCCCGTGGGTCGGATTCCATCTCGCCTGGCTCCCGGGGAGAGATTTCCCTCGCCTGATCCTTGGGGATCGGATCTGCTATCGGACCAAAGCAGTGGTCCTAGGGTAGGGCTCGAACCGCTTCAACCACTACAGTATGGAAGCACACGCCTGGGAGCACGTCTCGGACGTGTCCTGACACGACTGGCGATCGCATCGGGCCATGCGGGGAAACTCACATCGCCCATCGCGTCAATAGGCCAGCACTGTGCTACCAACTCCCTGCCCAACCACCGTCCAACGTTAGTCAACCGCCGTCCGTTGACTGGCACTGTACCGCTAAGCCCCCCGCATGGCTTCTGTTAGGGGCCCCTCTGACCATTCTGTCCACTCAGATGGGACGAAAGACAAGAATGGCGCATGACGCCCGCACGTAAGCTGCAACGCCCAACAGGACCCCCGTACGACGTTGCTGCCACCATGATCTACAGAGTCAGTGGGACCCATGTGAAGAGGAGAACGGCGCACCTCCAGGAGCCTTATTTCTCTTTCCTTTTTTCTCTTCCCTTCAGCTGTAACCCCTGCTTTCCCTTGGCCTATAAAAGGGAAAGCAGGGCGTCCCACTAGAAAAAACGGTGATTCATCGGACAAACACACCGCATCACACCAGAGACTTGGGAGCTACCTCCCTCTCTCGCCAGTTTGTAACCCCCTACTGCAAACTCAGTGCTAGTAACACGAGCAGCTCGAAACTGGACGTAGAGACATTCGACCTGAATCAGTATAATCCTTGTGTCCTCTTAGCACACCATCCGGGTTAGACGCGCAATATACAAATTT